GGGGGGGGAAACCTGGTTTTAATATATATTAAAAAATAAATAAATAATAAAAATAATAATAAAACTGTTAAAACGTAAGATAAAATATATTTTATTTTAAAAAGGGCTTCTTTAAAAACCTTTAATAATAATAATTGCCTTAAGCACTCGGTTCGAGGCTTAAAAAGGTGCAAATATGATGCGGTTATACTAATTAAGGACTCGCCAGGGAAAATTTTTTGAAGATATATATGTACATACATAAAAACCTTTTAGAATTACAAAAAAAAAAAAGGAGAAATTTGTTTTTTTTATGACAAAATGGTGACGATTATAATGAGGGTCCCTTACAAAAAAAAGGAGAGGGGAGAAAGGAGGGAAGAGGGAGGGAAAAGGGGGGCAAGAATTATCATTTATTATTTTTTGTTAATGAAATTTTCTTTTTTTTTTTTTGAGTTTTATCAAACGCGTTTCATGTTTTTCTTTTTTTTTTTTTTTTATAATTTTTAAATGATGTTGATGATGATGATGATGATGTCGGTTAGAAATATTTGAAAGTTTTTATGTAATTATGAAATTAAACGAGGAAAAGTTTTGAATTTAAAAAAAAGAAAAGGTTTATGAAAAAAAAAGGAATGAGTTAAAGGAAAAAAACAGGTTGGGGAGAAGGGGGAAGGGGGAATCCAAAACTATTTTAAAAATGTTGTTAATAATTTTTAGAAATATTTTAATGAAAGCCTTTTTTTTTCTTTTTCCTTTTTATCAATTTTACTATTGTCATTTTAATTAAAAGTAAAAATTCGTTCAATCGTTTTTTATTTATTTATTTAAATAAATAATATTGTTCGTCTTTTTATTTATTTATTTATTTATTTTATTTTCCACGAATAAATACATTCAAAAAGTTTAAAAAAAAAAAAAAAAAAAAAAAGAAAAATCCATGTACGACGACGCGATTTTCCGGTAAAATGAAGTAAAAAAAAAAAAAAAAATGTAATAAAATTTTCCCTTTTGTATCCGTTTATTGTTTCTTTTGTTTTTAACCGAGAAAAATCTCAGACAGTGTTTTTGGAATAAAACCTATTTTAAATAATAAAAACAAAAAAACCAAAAAAAAAAATGTTTTTGTCTTTTTTCTCGCTTTTCCTCGCTTCTTCTCGCTTTTTCTATTTTTTTCCTTTTTTTTATTCGACATTGAAAAAACTCGTTACAAAAAAAAAAGGGAAAGAATATTCGGGATAAAAATAAACGTTTGAATAAAAAAAACCGAATAAGATTTTTTTTTTGACGTCGTCTGTTTTGTTTACTTTTTATATACGGTAAAAAAAAAAAAAAAAAAAAAAAGTTATTGCTTCTGCTTTTGGCTATTTGTTCAAAACTTATCAATCTCTGATAATATTCGAATCTAACGGTTAAAGATTAACAAAAAAAATTTTTTTTTTTTTTGTTTAGTTATCGTTGAATCCGCGTGAGTTTTAATTTGATTTTATTCGTTTATAAAAATTTGTTGATATTTTTACTTTCGATATTAGAATTTTTTACCCTTAGGATGATGAACCCCCCTCCCCCTCTTTCTCTATTTATGTTTTTTATTGTTTCCAACAGTTTTCTATCGTGTGTATTAAAATTTTCTTTTTCATGTTAACGGGTATGAAGTAAAAGTTATCAGTAAAGGAAGAAAATCTTATTGATACTCGCTCGTGCCTGACTGTAACGAATGATAAAACCGACAAAGGAAAATTTTTTTAAAACATATTTAACGGAAAAATAAATTTCCCACGTGCGTATTTCACTGTCGTAAAAAAAAAAAAAAATCATTTGGTTATGTTCGAACGTAAAAAATTTTTTATTTTAAATATACATAAAGTTCGTTAAAAAAACTAACCCGGTTTTTGTTTTAATAATTTGTTTAAAAAAAAATGACGTAGGATAACTATTAAAAACTTTATTAATAAATAAATAAATAATTAAAAAAGGTTAATAAGATTTTTTTTTTTTTTTAATGAAAAATATAACCCGTTAAAAATTTATACATATTTCTAATCCGAAATTCTAATATCAAATTTCCTTTCCCCGTTTTCCGTTTTCCCGTCTTCTTCCTCCCCTCTCAATAAAAAAAAAATTTTCCTCTCTCTCTCTCTCTCTCTCTCTTTCTCTTTTCATAACTTTTAGAAAATCTAAAAATACAATAATAATAATAATAATAAATTGATCAAACATATCTTGTCATATGTCCATTATGTTTTTTTCCCTTCGAAAGCTCCTTACATGAGAATAAAATTACTTTATCATTGTAGTTTTTCTTTTCCACCGCGCCCCCCAATCCCCTTCTCCCTCATCCTTTGTCGTGTGTTTATTTTCAAACCAGTCAACAAAATACAGCTATTTGAAATTCAATAGGACAACAAAAAACAGCAACAACAAAAAAAAAAAAAGAAAAAATTATAAATGATAAAAATATCATCATCATCATCATCAAATTCAGAAATTTGGTACATATTTTTTTTACATGGCATTTTTGAAATATACATAATAGGTAAAAAAAAGAAAAGGAAATAGAGGAAAAGAGAGAGAGAGAGAGAGAGAAAACGTTATTAAGGTTTGCCAGTGGTGTGATTTTTATTTCCAGTTAAAAAAAAAAAAAAAAACTTTCTAACCTAGTTTTATATTTTTTCATTTTTCTTTCATTTTACAAAAAAAAGACAAAAAAAAATTCATTTAAGCACAACAATAATAATAATAATAATAATAATAATAATAAAGCCAACGGCCATAGCGTGCTGGTCACACCGGTTCCCGTACGATCACCGAAGTTAAGCAGCATCGGGCGTGGTGCAAACTTGGATGGGTGACCGTTTGAGAACGCCACGTGCTGTTGGCTTAAAAAGAGCAAAAAAATGAGAACAAGACAAAGTAAGAACCAAAAAACAAAATCTTGTTCTACTGTCGACCTGAGGCAGCTCGACGAGAACGTGAATTTCACTGCTTCTGACCCTGGCCACTCCAAAGATGTTAGTCACCGGAGCCCAGTTCAGGAGACAAATCGTTCCCATCGAAAAAGACGGACTCAGGAAGACCTTCAAGAATTGATGTGGTGCTATCTTATAATAAGTGGCACCACCGAAATTCGAGTATTTGTCCCTAAGGAATCGGGTAGAAACCTCGGATAAATACTTAAAAACTCCGACAAGTAGCCTTGTCGTGTTTAATGGTGGATAATAATAATAATAATAATGAGAGAAAATTTTTTTTAATGAAAGAAAAGAAAATGACGTAGAAAATATTTTTCTAATGATGAATAAGAAAGAAAAAAAAAATTTTTTTTTTAAAAGTCAGCATGTTTTGAATATAAAAAAAGTTGTTGTCGTTGTTGTTGTTGTTGTTGTCGTTGTTTTTGTCGTTGTTGTTGTTGTTGTTATCATTATCATCATCATCATCTCATCATGAAGCTTGTACATGTTTTAACTCGTAAAAATCTCTTTTCTTTCATTTTTATATATATATTAATATGAAATAATAATAATAATAATAATAACCGAGGGTGGAATGTCGTTTCTTTTTGTAAAAAATTTATTTGAAAGCTCACTGAAATAAAAGGATTACGCAGACACACACACACACACACACAAAAAGGGATCAATAAAAAAAAAAAACAAAATTAAATCACGACGAACACACAGACGGTACTTTTAAAAGAAATCGAGTTTGAATAAAAAAAAAAAAATTGACAATCATTTCAAAAGATTTTCCTCTCTCCTCCTCCCCCCCCAAAAAAAAAAAATTTTAAAAAGTCCTTTGAATTCTCTCACGTCTAAAAAAAAAAAAAAAAAATCCAAAACTAAAATAAAAAAGGTAAAGTTAAATAAAAATAGTGGAAAGGAGAACCAGATCGATAAATATCGGGCAGAAGAAAATCGCGATTATTAAAAATTCATTCTTAAAATTCTAAAAAAAAAAAAACAAACAAATCTCAAGATGCCCAATTTTTCTAAAAAAAAAAAAAAAAAAGAAAATTCGAAAAACTCTCAACAAAATCTGCATAAACTCCCGGATCGGAATCCGGAAAGAAAAACAAAAAAAAGAAAATTAAGGTTTAATAGTTTGGGAATTGAACGTGAAAGATAAAAACTAAAGAAATACAAATCATCGTGAGAAAGAGAGAGAGAGAGAGAGAGAAAACTGGAAGCCATTTTGGATAAAATTTAAAAAAAAAAAAAATTTTTTTCTAAACGAATAAAACAAATTAAACGTTTGCATCACAACAACAACAATTTACATTTAAAAAAAAAAAAAAAAACATTTGAAGGATTTATATTTCGCCATTATTCACGTTTCGTTAATAATAATAATAATAATGATAATAATAATAATAACAACGTAATTAAACGAACGTTTTAAGAAAACGTACCTGAACAAATTTTTAACGAATGTTCAAACACGTTTTAAATTTTTTTTTTTTTAAACATACAATATGCCGTATCGTCGTCATCAATCAATCGATACAAATGAAATTAATGATAATAATAATAATGATAACGTTTAGTCTGATTGAAAAATAATTAAATGACGAATTCCAGACTAATTTTTTTTTTTTTTTTGTAAATTTATAAATATTTTAATGATGGCGGTAAGAAAAAAAAGAAAAACTTTCTAATTATAATTTAGTTAGAGTAATAATTGGAAATGTTTTAATTAACGAACGCTGCCTTCTTATTATTATTTTTCACACCACCTCCTACAATTTTTTTTTTTATACATAAAAGAATTTAAAGGGGGATGGAAGGAAGGTATGATGGAAAAAAAAATCAAAATGGCGGAATACCAAAAAAAAATAAAATTCACCGTTATATTATTATTTTTTTTTTTTTTTTTACAAATTATCCGAATGAATTTTTGTCTTTTTTTTTTCATTCGGTGAATGATTAAAAAATAATAATAATAATAATTTTGTCTAAAAAAAAAAATTTATATGCGAGTGAATAAAAAGTGAAAAAAAAAAAAAAAAAGTAGGAGAAAAATTAATGATGAGAACTCGAGTTCCGACTCGGTTTTTTATTATATCCAACCTTTTTTTTTTTTTTTTTACGTTTTTATTTATTTCGACAGAATAATAATAATAAACATACACAAAACACACAAAACCACCGGGAGGGAAGGAGGGGAAGGGAGAAGGGAAATATTAATAAATTTATTTATTTAAAATATGTAGAGACGTGTATGAACAAAAAAAAAAGGAAAAAATTTAAAATTTTTATTTATTTATTTGATTCCGTTGAACTTTTACATACATATATATTTTTTATTTTTTTTGAGGTAAAAGGAAAGAAAAGGATAGAAAAGGTCAAACAAAAACTGACCTTTTTTTTCAACGATAAAAACATTTAAAAAAAAATTGTAAGAGTTCGTTTAATTTCAACTGCTTATGTAATGTTCATATACATTGTTATATACATTTTATTTATCGATTTCGAACGTTTACGACTAGCAGAAAACAACGAAAAAATCACCTTCAATTTAAATTTTTCCTTCTTTTTTGTTAGGAACAAACGTTAAAAGAATAAAAACCACGTGACCTAGGAAAAACGAAAAAAAAAAAAAATCGATTTAAAACACATCAACGCGGTTTATTTTGTTTTTTTTTTTTTTCGTTCCTATTGTTCGATTAAATGTTTTTTTTTTTTAAATAAATAAATAAAAATCGTACCCGATAATGTGTATTATTATTATTATTATTATTTTACAGGAATTCGGCGGAAGGAAACGGCGGTAGCATTTGCGGTGGTGGTGGTAGTAGTAGTGGGGATGGCAGGCGATCGCGACGCGTGCCCAGCCTCAAATTGGCAAACGGTAGACTCGAGTTTGGCGTTGGTGCAGCGCAGTCCGTGGAAGAGATTCGATCGCCGCCGCCGCCGCCGCCGCGACTCGCTAAGGATGATTCCATCAAAATATCCATCGAAAACACCAACACGTGCACAGACTCTTTAGTCACGGCTTTTGACGACGAAACTCTTCTTATAACGGATTATATACCGAACGATATGAATACTAAAGAAGGTGTGGAAAGTGATCAAAGTTCGTTTATTTTAAGTTTTTATTACAAATTTATATATATTGCGTATTCAGTATGAACGATAATGATAATGATAATTACGATAATTAAAAAAAGAAAAAAGGAAAATTTGAAAGTTTTACAAAAAAAAAAAAAAAAAAAACATTTTACGACATTTTTTTTTTTTTGTCTAAAATGTTTTTTTTTCGTTTGAGTTTACTTAAATTTTCTTTAAAAAATTTTTAATTATCGTAATAAATGAAAATGAAAATGAAAACGTTTATGCGCCCCCTTTTTTATTAAGGAAAATTTTTTCTTTTTTTAAATTTCGTGTTTTAAAGGGTAAAAAAGAAAAATTTATGTAAGTTATGTAAAAGCAGAAAAATCATAATCATCATCATCATCATTATCATCATAGTCGTCCTCATAAATCCGCCATCGTCACTATTCAATATTATTATTAGTATTATTATTATTATTATTATTATAATCATGATCATAATAACGAAACCATCCAATGATAACAGATCAATCAAATAATGTTAACGTTCTTATTTAATGGTTTCTTTATTGACTCAATGACCTCGTATAAGGAAATTTTCAATTGATTTTTTTTTCTTTTGTTTTCTTTCCGACAGCAAATTTTGCGAAAAACAAAAAAACAAAATTTTTTTTTTTATTTCCAACAACGTTTCGTGTCGGTTGGTCGGTCGGTCGAAAAGGGCAAATCACATTTTTCTTTTTTTTTTTTTTTTTTTTCATTTTTTCCATTCCGAAAAATATTATTTTTTATTTTTTGACGGAAGTAAGGGGGAGGAAGGGGGAATTGTCGGTTACGAAAAAAAAAAACAAGAGCGGAAATAAGGAGGGAAAGGGAAAAAAAGAAAAAAAAATTTTTTTTTTTTTATTTTCAAATCATTTCAAATGTGGAAAAATATTTTCGAGTTCGCAACAGCAAATTAATGAAACTAATCAATGGTTTTTTAGGCTTTTGTTCAATGTCAGACATTTTAAATTATCTCTCTCTTTCTCTTTCTCTCTCCCTCTCACTCTCTCTCTCTCCTTTAGAATTATTTATTTATTTTCACGGAGGATGTATAACAAACATGTTTTTATTTATATGTATACGTATTTTTCACGCCGCGTATATTTTGATTTATGTTATTATTATTATTATTATTATTATTATTATTATCATCAACATCATAGTCATTTATAAATAAATAAAATTAATTGTTTAAAAAAAAGAATTGTTTAAAAATAGTTTTGAAATTGCGCAACGTTTAAATTTAAATATTTAATCATAATTGATTGCTGTCGTATTTAAAAAAAAAAAAAACATGAAATTTTTCCTTAAAATTTTCCGAAATAATAATGATTATGGTATTTTTTATGGGGGCGCATACATTCGTTTTTGTTTTTTGTTTTGTTTTTTTTTTTTTTGTGGCTTTAAAAGAGTCATTCATGATTATTGTTATAAAAAGTGAATGATAATGCCGTAGGAAAAGTGCATTTCGGAGGTGACGATGTTAGTTTATATGGTACGCCTAAAGAGGAACCGGGTCCGACACCTATCGGTGCCGTGGATTCCGGTAAACAAAGCTTCCTCAAAAACCAGCTACAGGCACTCTTCCAACCCACGGATAATAAGCTAGCTATGAAATTATTTGGTAGTAAAAAGGCTCTTATGAAGGAGAGAATACGACAGAAAGCAGCTGGTCATTGGGTCATTCATCCTTGTTCCAGCTTCCGGTTAGTATTAAAAAATTTTTTTATCTTTTGAAAAACAAATGGGAATAATTTTAATATTCTTTTCTTACCTCCTTCCCCCCACTGCCTCTCTCCCTATCTCTGTGTCGAAATTTTTATTTCAATATTATTATTAAAAACGTTAAGGGAAAAAACACATTTTTGTAATAACGTGAACAAAAAAAAAAATGGCGTCCATCAACAATTTGTTTCTACGCAATTTATTAAAAGGATAAAAATTAATCAAGACCCGCGCGCGGAAAATTTTAATAAATCGATGAAATTACTAACGGACATTAAATAAAATGAAAAAGTATTATTTTTATTATCATTATTATTATTAAATAAATTTATTAAAAAAAGTAGATTCGATAAATAACAATCGATAGAATCAATATTATGTAAATTAAATAATATTATCTCATTCAATGTAAGAAATTTCTTTTTTTTTTTTTTTTTTTGTTGTATCCGTTTCCGGTTGAGCAAACATTCATTCACGTTAAAATTTTCTTTTTTTTTTTTTTTTTGGATTATTGTCGACGAAAAATTTATTAAAAGTCAAGGATTTGTTGTATTGTTATGTACGATCCATTCGAATTTTCCAAATCAATCGAGATTGAAAACCGTTAAAATTTCGTTTTCCGGTTTTCTACAAAAAAAAAAAATTTTCCTAACTCGAAAACATCGAATAAGATTTTTTTCCACCGTTAAAAATTATTTTTTACTCTCCTTCCTCCCTTCCCCCTTCTCCTTCCCCCAGATAATAAATCATCCCCCTCCATCGAACAAATTTTTTTTTTGAAGGGGGGGAAATGGGGAAAATAGGAAAATTTAAAGAAACATATATCGACCAATCAAATTCTTCTTATCATTATTTACTATTTACTCTCATAAAAAAAAAAACAAGTAAAATTTTACGCGGTCGTATATATATTACCAACCTTAAAAAAAAAAAAAAATTTTCTTTTACAAAATGAAAACAACTCAGCTAACCAATAAAAAATTTTTTCTCTTACCTTATAGATAAATTCACGTAAAGTGTTTTTATATATATATTTACCTTGATTAAATTTTTTTTTAAGTAAAAATCAATGGGTTTTTATTATTATTATTATTTAAAAAAAAGAAAATCATTATATCGGGTATCAGTTATCGAATTTTTAAATATAATATTATTATTATTATTATTGAGGGAATAAAGTGTATTTATTTCATTTTATTTAGTTTTTTTGATCGATGATCGATGAAGTTCGCGTTTAATTTAAAAAAAAAATTTTCTTTTTTCCTTATTTTTTTTTAAACTTTCCCGATTTTATTTTTAAAAAAAACGAACAATAATAACAAACACGCACAAAAATACGTTTTTTTTGGTTGTTCAATTCGCAAAAACAAACATTTGAAAAGAAAAATCCATATATATTTTAATAATAATAACAATAAAATAAGACGCAAGGAAAAATAAATAAAAGATGAAGGAAAAACACACACACACACACACACACAGAAAAAAAGGTTTTATTTCCGAATCGAAAACACGGTTATGTTTTTTTTTTTTTTGTTTGTTTTCTTTATGTTTCATTCCATCTTTTTTCTTTTTTTTATTTGTTTGTTTGTTTGTTTTTTATCAAAATAATAATTCGATTGCAAGTTTAATCCATTGTTTTTCCTCATTAATCCGTGTTAAATTTGATTTTTTCATATGTTTTCATTATTATTATTATAATTATTATTATTACATCGATCCATCGTGCGTTGTTGTTTGTTTAAATAATAATTTTACAACAACAACAACAAAAATGACAATGATTCGTATTGCTGCAATTATAATAATAGAGACGTTGTTGTTGTTGTTGTTAATTTATCAGTTAAAAAAAAATTTTTTTTTTTTTTTGTTATGTTGACGGCGTGTTAATTAGCACGTAGGTAATTTCCCCCCCCCCTCCCCCCGTTTTTTCCTTTTTTTTGTATCACCTGTGCGTTGTTGTTGTTTGTTTTTGTTTTTGTTATCGTTTTCATTCGTGCTTAAAATCTGTTGTTGTTGTCGTTTTTTTTTTTTTAATGACGATAAACAATTTATTTATTTATTTATTAATAATTTATTTATTTATTTTTTTTTTTTACTTGCAATTGTTTATTTTATTTTTTTAAATTTTCGATAATTTTTTAAAATGGTTTTTATAATCATCATCATTATCATTTTCTTTCCGTTACGTTTTTTTTTTTGTTATTGTTTATGATTGATTGATAAAAAAATTGCGTGGATGTGGAAGTTTGTGTGAATGATAATAATAATAATAATAAAAAAGGATGAGAATCGTTGTGAAGCCTTTTTTAGTGAAAAACAATATGATGGAAACGTTGTCGAAAAAATAATGATGATAATAATAATAATAAAATCCGGTGACTGTTAGAGATGTTAGGATAAAGAATAAAAATTTTTTATTTTTTTCTTTTTACGTCATCATCATCGTCATCATTATTATTATGAGGGAAAAATCATTAGAGGGAAATTATTGATTTCATTTTTTAAATAAAAAAAAAAAATTTTTTTCTCTTCATCTCGTTGAGTGCATTTTTAATTTTTTTTTGTTGTCGTCATCGTCGTCGAAACAAATAAAAGGAAAATTTTTTTTTTCTTCCTTTTTTCCTTTTTTCCTTTTTTTCCATTTTTTCGGATAAAATTTATTAAAAAAAAAGAAAAAAAAATTAATAGAAAATTTTTTTTTTAAAATGATGATAATAATAAATTGTTTATGTTTAAACATAATAATAATAATAATAATAAGTAAATAAAAATAAAACGTAAGATGGAAAGGAAAAAAAATTTACGTAATTAATTATTTATTACACTAATGGAAAAGAAAAAAAAATTTTTTTTCTTAATTAATTTTTTTTTTTTTGTTATTATGAAGTTATGAAAATCGCCATGTTTTTTTTTTCAACTTAATAAAATTTATTTAATTATGGATTTTATATAAATATTTTTTTTTTTTTAAATTAACAAATGTTTAATTAAGTTTGTAAAAAAAAAAGAAAAAGAAAAAAAGTTTTTTTTTTAAGACGCCATTTTTTTTTGCTTTGCTTGTTTCGTGGGCGGAAACGGAAATGTTTATTAACGGTCGAATAAAATTTTGAATTAAGAAACGTATTACGATTAAAATTTAAATTTAAGTTTATAACTGATTTGAAAGAAAATCTTTTTTTTTTTTTTGTTTGGAAAATTTTGTTTAAATAAATTTAATTTATAAATAAATAAATAAAAACGAGTAAATTTAAATAAAATAAATAAAAATAAAAAATTGAATGTTGGTTCACCGAATTTAAAAATAAAAAAAAAAAAAAAAAAGGTAAATGTTTGCTGTAACTTAATCATTATGTTAAGTAAAGTTAAACAAATCAATCAAATTTTAATAATAAATTTAACCCGTATTATCATCATCATCATCATTATTATCATCATCGATGTTATTATTAAACTTTCCTTTATTTAAATAATGCGTACAAAAATTAAAATTATTTATTTTTAGTTTTTTTTTTTTTTTTGGTTAAAAATTTCAAAAAGATCATTCATTCGAATGCGATTTTTTTCCCGCCAAAAAAAAATGGCGAAATTCAAAAAAAAAAAATTAATTTCATCATCATTATTATTATTATTATTATTATTATTATTATTTTTATTATTATTATTATTGTTTAATATTAAAAATCAATCATGTAAATGCCATAGACTTTTAAGTAATGACTTTCTTTTCTTTTCTTTTCTTTTTCTTTTTTTTTTTTATCTTAACTTTTCATAACAATACAACCGCAAAAAGGTCAATTAATAATAAAAATAAATAGAGAGAGACAGAGAAAGAGACAGAGAAAGAGAGAAAGAGAGAAAAAAATGGCGCCTACACGTATTCATAAATTAAAAATGTCAACAAATTCCTTTGAGAAATTTTTCCTTTTTTTAATTGATTCAATATAAAGAAAAAATTAATTTAATAAAAACTGACGCGTAAAAAAAAAAGAAAAATATTATAATCATGTTTTCCTTCTCTCTCTCTCTCTCTCTCTCTCTCTCTTTCTCTCTTTTTATACTATAATATATAGTATAAATAAATATTTGTTTTTATTTGTTAAAAAAAAAAATTTTTTTTTTAATTTGATTTTGTTGTTATCGAGAATGATAAAAAATTTTCACAAAAGGCGTCACTTTCTAATTCCACGTTAAAATTTTCCATACGTTCTGATAAATGCGAGGTGGTGAATGCGTGTGTGGGTGCGTGCGTGAGTGCGCGAAACCATTGAAAAATTTGATCTTGGTCATGTTGATCTCGAATTTTTATAATTAAAAATAAAAAATAAATCTTTTCCTGAAAATTTTGTTTTTTGTTGAAAACTTTTCGAATATTTTTTTTTTTTTTTAATTAACGTGATATTATCATTATATTATAAAAAGAGTTTGAATTGCATTCATTCATTCATTCATTCATTCGTTTGTTCATTCATTCATTGAAATTTTTTCGTCTTCTGCTTGAGCCATTTGAAAATGTTTAGTGGGATTTTCCAGCGTTTTCCAGATTTTCACTTTTTTTTTTTTTTATTTCAATGGGTTAATTTACACACCTACGTAAACCTCGCAATCTCCTGTATTTTATTAATCTCTTCATCTCTCTTTCTCTTCCTCTCTTTCTATCTTTCTTGGAATTCTATTAAGGTTGTTTTGGAAAAGATCCCAATTTTCCTTTTTTTTTTTTTATGTCACAAAAAATGATTTTCGCATTTTTTTTCCCTCCCATCGTCGTCGTCTAATGTTTCCCTTTTTTTTTTCTTTTGGACATTAATCGTTTGTTTACGTTTGTTTGTTTGTTTGTAGATTGTTCATTATACATTTATTACTCGCGAAATTTTATTTTTTTAAATTTTAAAAAGGAAAAAAAGTAATAATTTTTCTTTTTTGTTACCGTTTAATAATTTTCGGCTTAAAATTTTGAATTTTTTTTTTTTATTTAAATGCA